CCAGGATGGGGTCCCCGTGACCCCGTCTGTGCTTGGCTGGAGACGTTGGAAGAAATGGCGGCTAATCGATGTCAGTGGCGTTATTGCTGTCAGTTTCTTTCCAGATTGTCTGATTGAGCGGTTGGAGGTGTAGGCGCCTCAGTATGCTTGACACAGGCCAGCCCTTGGTCCCCTCCCTCACCCACTCTGCAGCGCTTTTAATACAATTATATATATATATATATATATATATATAAACTAGATAAACCTTATGGTTGTAGGGCAGTGAAGGGGATTGGGAAGGGTGCTATGCACTGAAGGCAATAGCTTGGATGCACGAGCGCCATTGAGGGCGCGACTGGGCCATGGCTGGCAATGCCCTAACCATTGATGTGGACCGTCTCGGAGTTGCCATCTAGTAAGACGACAATGACCAGCGCCGCTTAGTTTGCTGGTAATGGCTTTCACACTTCGCTGCCAAGTCATTGTTTGACCGCTTCTGACTCTGCTGCACCCTACGCGTCGATTCCTTTAAGTATTTTGGTCATACCTCCCTTCCAAATGGACGAGCACGGCATAAATAAACATTCGCATTCACAAACCAAGAAAGGTCTTCATGAAGTATCTTACCGCATTATGGAAATGACCAGAAACTAGCCATCAAACAAAGCCCCTTATTTATACCGTGTCCATCCGAACCGTACCAACGCTTGCATGACTTTGTCTCCCCCAGTCGACGCTCTTCGTAGGTCTGAAGACTACTGGTGTCTACGGTTATCACTGAAAGTGCTTTTGGACTATACACCGTCGTATATATTTGTGATGAAACATTTTCAGGGCAATTTCCAAGCTCGGCGAGCAGCTTAAGTAGCCAATGACCGGTAGTTTATTAGAAAAATAAAAGGAAAATGGTGAAGATGAATTCGTTCGGCTGCAACACCCTTTCGGTGCCTAGCCGCCTGCCACCCGAAGGAAGCACGGGGGCTGGGATATTATCGGGTTGTCCAAGCCTAGGCAGGAAAAGTCGAGATGTAGAGGCCGGGTTCAAACCACGGACGTTCCAGCCCGTAAACCCGCACTCCAACCAATGAGCCAAATGACCAACTATTGCCTTTGAAATACCAAACGTTACAACAGATGATAACCAATACAAGTATTCTGTGTGGAGCTAAGAAAAAGTATCTCCAGTTGTCTCAACATTTGGGAGCTTTTCACCCAAAGAGCTAGTCATCGCCAGATGGCGGAAACTGCATGGTTGATCACCATCATCAGAGTCAGCAACACAAGTGTTGACACTTGCTTCACCGGCGTACTAGCATTAATTTGATGTCATCATCGTTGTCATAAGAAAAGTCTTCGAACGAAGAAATAGAAAAAACTGGGTGGGGGGTGTTACCTGGTTCCGGCGAGCATTCTGAGGTGCCTACACCTTCGAACGGTCATTTAGACAACCGGGAAAGCAACTGACAGCACATAAGCCATTAAAATCGATCAGCCGCCATTTTTCGCAACATCTCCGTGGCCGATGGGACCCCGTTCTGAAATGCAAACCATACTAACTACCCGTAAACTCTTCGTCATCTTTTTCGTGCCCTCTTTCAACCTTCCTGCTAAGTCATATGTAGTCCATTATGGATGAGGTAAAGTAAACAACACTTGTCCCGGTAGACACCGGTTCGGCACTGCAGCACATGACCGAGCCACCCTAGTTGATGAAGCTGGATGTCTTCCGCGATTGAAGTATTTGCTACACAACCAACTACCCGTTTTTTTAACTACTTCGTTGGAGATTCGTAGACGCCACCTGACAGCAGAAACACTTCTGAGGCATCTTCGGTAAAGAAAACTGCATGCTGTATTTTAAGTTGCGTCTCATCCAAACTGCCAATGAGTCAAGCACAGTTAAGCATCGTTGTCTTCAACCCTTAACCGAAAGAAGTGTGGATACGCAATCCTGGTGTTTTTTTGTGTGCACTGCTGATGGTCCTTAAGATGAGTAAGTCAGCTTCTCGACTTTTTGGCATAGAGGGACTTCGGTTGCAAAATGAAATCGGAGTGTATTCAGCTCTGCGAGTCACATCAGTCACTCAAACCAATGTTCCTTTTGTTCCATTTTTTAGCGGATGGGTTTTCCCACTGATGTTTGATTTTCTATGGCGAACATCTCAGAAGGATCAGCAGCCTCAGATTACCATTCCAGTGAGCTTTGTGCAGGTGAGTTAACTGGATTTGACGTTGGGCGCAGCTAGACAGCTGAAGTTCCTCTTTCCATAAGGAGATAGTGGGTTTATTTTTACTAACATTTCTTGGCCTAATACTCCTCAGGTTTGAGGATGCTTTTATCATTTTTCGCAGGATCCTTATTTTCAACTTCATGGAATGAGCCGCTTATTTCAGTTTTACAATGAGGCAGTCCAGTAGTTTCCACTTTGGAATTCGAATCGCGCCTGATGAAAAATTTCTTGGTTTACCATGGACGTTTATTTGAGCTGTTTAGTATTTGAAGCAGGTAATACTATGGAATCTCTTGCTTGATGGTCGCGGGTGATGCCTCCAGTACTTACCACAATGTTTCAGTTCTAGCGTTAGGGTAACCAAGCGCACAGCTCATGCAGCTGTGCGGTAGAATCCGGTAGAATCCGGGAGTTAATCTCACGAAACCAATCCGTCTGATCTTCCTTCCTGTACGAGTTGTCGGGCCTCATTGAGTTTCTTAAGCCTGTTATTTCCCTCACAATGTTCTGCTTATTGGAAAGATACTTGGCTTGTGCAAACATATATGTTCTAATTATAATTTTGTCCATCTGTCAGTGGGAATCGTAGTTGAATTGAGGCTAATAAACAACAACCAAGAAAGAGAAGTTGCTAGTTCCCACTATACACTATGTCCCTCCTCCCCGTTCTGGTCTAACATACATGGATTGCATGAATGTGGTGTTGGAAATCTGCGAGCTTCTTTCGTTTCTGTGTTATGAACTGGCATCCTGTTTCTCTTACTGAATTAGTGAACGGGATATAAATATTCACCCATCGAGGAGTTGTGTGCTACTTTTAATCAACCAGCTAAGGTGAATGTGAATATCAGGAACGGATTCCATTAAACTCATTTAAACAGCTTGGCACAATTAAATACAATCTCTTGAGCAGTCCTCGACAACCTATGAGATCGTGTCACCAAGAAACAAAAATCAACAAAACCTATTGTATTTGGCATCTTCTCCGCCGAGGCGATGCTTTTTCTGTGGAGCTTTTGCTAAACAACTTCTCAATTAAGTCTGAAGTCCAAATGCTCTCTGTTGGAGTATCTTCAAATTTACGCTACTGACTGGCAAGTATCTTATATTTGTTTCCAACTTGCAGACCGTTTGGTAATTGTTTTGGAAGCTGTTGAGCAGTCGACTGCAAATTCCAAGGAAGTCACCCTTGGAGCGGCAAATTTGGTCCCACGGTGCACAGATTCGAACACTCCCGCCAAGCGCTGTCCGATAAAGGCGAACAAGAAGTGTGAGTCTGGTGTTCCTTTGGGCTTTACGGGTATTACTGTGAGTATTGAGCGCTTGGCTAATAATATCGGTCGAACCAGATCCTGACGTTTGTTTCGCCCACTATTACCGACTAGCAGGTGCTCCGATGCTTCCCTGATTCCATGTTCCTGGCGCGAAATTGGTATTATCGCTTCGTCTTGCAGGCCAAGACCGGATGGTCTTGAATGACGGCTACTTTATCGGGACCCGCCCCTGCCCTAATGGGTTTCTTGAATGACGGCTACTTTATCGGGACCCGCCACTGCCGCTAATGGGTTTATTTCATTTCTATCCGGTAACCGAACGGCACCAGCCTATTACTCGCTTTGTCCTCATAGGAGAAGAATTTTAATTACTGTTTGATTTGTCTACAACTTGAGAGCATAGTTTATTTGATATGAGACTACTCGAGGTAGATGAGAACTCTGGACATGAAACCACCGGCTCCAACTGAAACATAGCTTTTGCACAGACCGTCCATTTGGAGAACATCCTAACCAAGGGTTCTACTCTAATATCCTCTCAAAAGAAACTTGGAGGACGCTTTTTTGTGCTGTTACTAAGTGTTGATCACGAGTAACGTTTTGTGCACGCGGTTATTTTGGGGACAAAGAACAAATAGTTCCGAATTGTGACGCTTCAAGCATGCCACCACCGTGGTGTACATAGCTACATAACAGATTCGGGTGAACAATAATCCCAGCCAAGACATTAGGCCTTGGTCATTATGCTATCTAGCACCCTCCGTATAGCATAATCATCATGCTTCAAGAAATTCAAATTGGTTTGCCATGAATATAACATTGCTTGCTTTTATCCTGCTCGCCCTAGTATCCTCTAACAAACGTCCACAGCCCATGGGTGACGGGGATGAACGGCGAAGAAATAAAAAGAGGTCAAAATGTGTAAGTTTCAACGGACGAGCGGTGCTTTTCGTTGTTTGGGACGGAATTTTCCTCTCACAGTCTTGATGAACTGTTCGCTGTGGACAGAGTATCGTGCATGCAGTGCTACCGTTCGGGCTTCATCCGCCTGCTTTATGGTTTTTGTTCGTCTTTCATTGTGCATTCCTTTTTTAAGCTACGACTAAGTTGTGGTGGTGCTGATCGCCAGAACGGATCCGTGTACCTTCACTCCCTTTTGTGGACCTACTACGTAAACCCGCTTAACTTGACCGTACCCATTCTTATGGCTTAGCATGGTTACACAACGACGTCATCATCATCACCAACGACGCACTGATGGTGTCAAATTGATTGGGGTTAGATTTTTAGCAGCTTAGTGATCCGTCCAGTGAAAATACGACCACTGGCATTGCTCATTTGGCGCTCCAGCAATGTGCGTGCATTATTTCGGAGCACCATAGGATGTGTTTCGAATCACTTGTCATTTGCTAATAAAATTACGTGACTCTTTTGGCTCTGTAAACCACAAGTGGAAGATTACCCGCGGTTTGCAAAAGCGAGATAGCTCATGATGGCTCAAGGAGTTAGAGCGCGAATTTACTGACCGGAAGGTCCGTGGTTCGAACCCGACCTCTGAATCTCGGCTTCTCCTGTCTAGGCTTGGGCAACCTGACAATATCCCAGCCCTCGTGCTCCCTTTGGGTGAGGTGGCAGCTAGGCCCCGAAAGGGTGTTACAGCTGAATGATTATCTTTTATTTTTTTATTCCAAAAGCTTCACTCTCGTTGTTCGCACTCAAACAGGAATGTGCTGCACGTCCACTTACCAGCCTTTTTCAATCACAGACAAAATGTACCAAATATCTATTTAAACAGCAACTGGCAAAGTATCAGTTGGCTTAAGTATATAAGTACGAATGAAGTCGAATAGATTGTGCTCTGTGTGGGTTTACTAGAGCTTTAAAAAATAACGGGGTTTAACGGGAGCAGAATAGTTGGATTCACCGAATACAAAAGCCGGGTTGGCTGATATTTACCGGTGTGTGGTCAACCTTCATTTGGCTGTTCGACTGGTCAAGTCGCGACAGCCGTATATGGGTAGGTTGAGGCTGCGATCACCTGCTGGCGCTCTTGGTCTCTATTTATGGGCCCTGGCCACAGTGGAGATGGGCTGACCATCATTTCGGTTGACGCTGGCGAGCTTCCGCACGGTGCTGTTCCGTGTGCATTGTCAGCATCTTGTGCACTGATTGAGCCTGTTCAAATAAAGCACTGTGGTTTTCCATCAAGGCTTGCCAAGCAGTAGCTGAGTCATTCTCCAGTTTTTGGAGTCGCGAAAGTGCTCACACACACTTAGTCGCCTGCTGGTTTCCTCGGCACAACTATTGTTACAACCCTCACAACTGTGTATGCAGCTGGCTTGATCACCTTGGTTGGTGGGATCATCAGGTTGTCTTCTAATAATGTCATCACTCTTGAAGAAACTGCGTTTGTTCGATTCCGATAAAACTACTCGAACTTGCTCAGCTGCCTGCACGGAAATCTGAACAATCGGTAAAATGATTCTATTCTTTAATTTTAGCCTTGCTTGCAACTGACCGAGAGCGTTCTTAAGGGAGTTATTGGATAGCTTTTCCACTGCAACACATCCCTGATATAATTGACATGCGTGGTTTGCAGATCTCATAGGAACGTATCATTTTAGCTCTGTTTATCACTGAGCTTACAGCATTTCGTTTCACGTTCAACGGATGACACCCTTTAATGAAGATTTCATCTTATAAGTGAAGCCAGTCTATGCTGAAATGCCGTGAAGCACACAAGCGTAGATTTGTTTCAGCTACAGGACGAAATATCCATTAAACGTTCCCTCCACATAACCAAAGATAACACAACCTGTTAGAACTAGTGAATCGGGTTTTGATGTGACTTTTATTATCCTAAAATAACCTATCCAGGACAATATCTAGATTGCTCTTTATATCGTCCTTTGAGTATGAAGCTCGCTGTTAAGCAGAGCTAAAGTACGTGCGTTGTCGTATAATTTCGATGTGGTCTCTTCAGACAATTACATGTATAGCTAATGTAAGGAAGAACAAATTGCGATACGCTTGATTAGTAACGTCAGTCAGTAAAATTGATCTGCAAACTCGAGGGTCGCTCCGGGTTCAGTGTCAAGGAAACAGTACGACTGACTCAGACTAACACATTCCTCTCATGTAAGTTCTCCCTAATACCCGTCAACTTGACTGCTCTTTGCATCCGATGCGTGGCATGACCAATGCCCCCCTCGAGTGACATCAGTCGCTGGTTGAAACCACTACTCGAGCCTCTCAGGAAAGCCCCGTGCCTACCAGAACCTCTAAGTGTGGGCAAGAAAATATGCTCTCTTGACATTTCCCCTCGTTTTACCAGTGTTCCCTTAATCGAACATGTTGAGTCTATCCGTGATTTTATAAAGCACTGTGGCTTTATTCCACCCATCTCTTCATTCAATCTTAAGAAACTGCTTTTACCTTAAACGTCAGTACATAAATCCTATTCAGTGTGATCATTTATAGTCAGAGATGGAGTAGTGGTGGGCTTCCCGCTTGGATCAATTTTAGCATCTATATATATGTGTAAGATTGAGGGTCAACTAGCCTCAGTAATATCACAGTTCCTTTTGTGTAAACCTTATATTAGTTATTGTTTCCCACGTATTTTACTATCACAGTACAATAAAGGGGCTCCTTCAGGATTTTAGTTTGACTCGGATGCACTGGGGTTTATCGGTAAGGAGAAACCTGGTATGGTTTTTTCTTTTCTAGATGTTGTGCTTACGCGAAAACAGGATGACACGCTTCTGAGACGAGTAGACAATACACCCTATGGAATAAATTTCAACAGTTCCTTTGATTTTATAGAAACGAAACGTACCGAATTGTCCGACCAACTGGGCTCGCACAATCTGTACCGAACGAACGTTATTTGTAGAATTGGCTCCTGACGATGAATAGCTAATCGAAGAAATTCGGGCTGCGACACCTGAGAAGACTAAGCAATCATGGGAAACTATGTAGACACTTGGCAGGTGGTAAACAAATATACATCCAAATTGTTAAAACCTCTGAAATGGTTACTCGTTGGCCTACCACTTCTTCCAAGAAAGCATTTAATGCCGCGCAATTGAGGACGCATCTCAATGATTGTCGGATGACCAACTCTAACTTGAAAGAGTAGATGCCCGTCCACGACTCATCTATGCTGATATATTCCTTTGTTGCACTGTTCCGCAGATTATGTAGAACATACGACACAGTGCCTACCTCCAAGGGCTGATAGGCATAAGCCATTTTACAAACGCTCTGACAAGCCGAACCATGTGACCAGTGCGATTGCTGTACACTCGATCGATACTGCTCCCCGGATTAACTCGGACGAGTCGTTCAGTGCGATCTATCGAGTGCCATCAAATAATTCCAAGATTGTCCAGCTGATTGCACTCGCAACAGTCGAAGCAATTGCATTTCGACCACGACAACCGTCCCTTGTCACAAAAGGGGCACTTGATAGCGCTGGCGTTGCCATGGCCCACGAACTTCAAGGTCAACTTGTCTCCAACATTGAACCATGAGTAACTCCGCTTTGTAGGGCGATCTTTTTGACTGGCGTTACTGACCCAGTTTATTGCAGTTTGATCTTCCTTTAAGCCCTCATTTTACTTATGTGTGTATCTGTCTGACGAGACTATCTTAAAACCTTTTGAATACAAAGCGTATTTTATAAATTATGGTGGACACATTTACCAGGGCTAAGCTGCTATGTTCTGACGGTCACCTTTGCTGATCGAGACCTCGAGTTATTAGAGAACTCTACTTTCGACGTTTTTCACCAACAATCAATAAAAAGCACGACTTTCCTTCTTGTATTTTTCAGTTTCTTTAACATTTTAGCCTTTATCGTAATTCTTCGTTCATACTGGCTGTTCGATTTTCTCTGTTTACTTCCTTATATGATAGATGCTTCCAGCGGACAAAGATGGGTCAGTTGCGACCAGTAAGTTGGATAATATTTTTCACTGTTATCAACCATGGATTTGCGATAGGTCAGGGTTTTGTTATTCGCATGCTAACTTGATGTGTTGAAGCTGACTAATCCAAAAAACCATTCGTTGCTTGTGTTTGGTGCTACGCAGTGTTCTTGCGAGTATGGGCGATGGTTTAGAGTAAGTTCTGATCTCTGCCATGCGGTTAATATGGGATATGGTTTGCTTGTTTTGTATGTACTGTTGAGGAGAACGATCATGCTATTCCTCGATCACATCGTTGTTTAGTTCGGTTAAGCTAAGTGACTGATCTTACTGTGAATGGTATGATTAATTCAAAGTGTATTTTGCAAGGACGTCGGTTGCAGTTAGCTCCTCATTCTTTTGGTTACGTGTTCACAGAGTACGGCTTTTCGGGCATATTTATTTTGGGTTTTATTTTTTTCCATGTGTAACTTTCAAGTGTCCATGTTCGGTTCAGTAGCAAGCATCATCTTGCCATATTAACCGGCTGGATGTGACGGAATCGTGCATATGTTTACGTATGGGGTCGTGCTCCTATTTCGGAATGAGTATTTTATCGTAACCATAGTTTTTTAGGGAATTACAGCGCTTTTATTCGATATATCCCTCCTGAGAAAGAGTTCAGTCCACCGAAGAACCTACAATTGCGCTCCTCACGGACCAAGATTTGGCGCACGATATACTTGGAGTGAGGTTTACTATTCTTTTTTTACATGGTGAGCTCTTCTCCGGAAGACCACCGTGTTGGGATCGGTGGATTGTGTACAGGATTCACATCCGCTTAGACTTGTGGATTTCTAAGCACATGTGGTAACGATACACTGAATGAACTCTGCAACAGAGGAAATTCGGATGACAATTTTGGAAGCACAGATTTTTGCCTGTCACAACCCCTCCTTCCTGGAGACGAACGACGGAGTCGAAGGGGAGATAGCTTCCGATCGCCTAGATGACCGATTCAGTCCCAAAGAGTTCGCTGTCCAATAAGAGTATCCTCTGCTATTCATACAAACTTATTAGTTAACTTTCGTGAATAAAGCGATGCATTTTTTGAACTCTTCCTTCTAGGAGTTGATTTGAAATGGCCAATGAATTGTCCTCGGATTTGCAGAACATCCCTTTCATTGAAACAGTTCATTTGCAATGTCGATTGAGCATAATACAGTTGGAGGATAGGATGAAGCAACGAATTGGGAATCAATGATTCTCAAATTCCCAATCGCCGTTGTTTTCTTGGTGTATAACTACCTCTTCATGATAATGCGGCGTGTTTAACGGTTCTTACTCAAATTTAGCAAGATGAAGGATTACTAGTTTCTAATGAAATAGACGACAGAGTGTGACGATCAACATACAGGTTCATCAACTTTTCCGCACCATCGATACATGCGAGTTTGGATATATGGACTATTCTTTTCCGACGAAATAAAAGCTACCCGCTGTCATGCAAGTTGTTATAAAAACCCTGGATACAAGCGAATTTTCATTGCATCTTTCCAGAAATCATGTGGCACGCTTTCCACTAGATACTTTTCTACAAGGAAACAGTCCGTTTGGAAACGGGTTTTCCACGACCTGAAAGGTGTTTCTTCGAGGTTAGGTACTGTATCACATACATGTGGTGGCATCAGGATTCGCCATCTTGACACCTTGAGCATAAATTCTCGGTCCAGTGTGAGAGCAATCCAGACCCACCAACCTCGCAAACGTTTAGGTAATCGGTTTTCACAGCACACCTCGTATCCATAGTACAGCTAAAATTTTCGCTTTTTTGTTCAAATGCAGTGATGTGAGCAGCCAAGTTCGCAATGGATTGAACTATCTGAAAAGCTATACATCCGGAGTAGTATGGGAAGAAAAAGTGTGATTTTATTTCTAATTTTGCATTTTGAGCTTGCGAACCAGCCGCTTGCTGTTGCTGTTCTTTGACTAGATATACTACGCAGTTCGGTAGGATGCCTCTTCGAAATAACGAGGTTTCACTTTGCAAATAATATGCAAAATTGCATGGAATTCACCGACCAGCGGGTTCCATTTCCGACCTAAGCTGAATTCCCCGACCAACCAATCTCGCCAACTGTCTAATGACCAAAGTAGACAGATTCTAACACCTGTCCCTTCGTGCACATCACTATGCTCCCCTCAGACACGCTGGATTTGTTTCCCAGACAGTGTTCTGTGCTTCTCCCAGCCAACTTAGCTCACCAGCTACCCAACTTTTTAAACGCTTGTATTATTAAGAGATTCGAGAATTTCAGTCGAGAGTTTCTCCTTTACTTGAAGCGAATAGGTACCGAAAAGCAGAGAATCACTGTACAGCCATTTCATTTTCATTATGAATCATCGACATCCCGCGAATTTCGACGAACCAATGACCTTCCGGCCAGTAGTTGAGAACTAAATCATTCGGCCACGGGCGGCCGATCAGCACCAACACAAGTTATTCCGTTTATTCCTTTGTGAATTGTCTTTACGACCTTCCGGTTCTAAGTACTGTTTGTTTCTCATCTTGTGCATTCAGCGTTGAACTACTCATCAACCTTTGTATCTGACCTGCTGTATTTTTTGGCTTAAATCGATATTCCTTCTGTGCTGTCCTCAGTGATAATCCTTATTGTCCGTAGAATGAGGCTTTTGTCGCTAATCCCATTTTGGTTTGCCATTTCAATACCTACCAAACCCTCTTCTAATCTCTGACAATGTCACATTGGTCGTGTTCTGGTTTGCGAAAACCCTATCATTTTCTCCCTGTAGTTGAGATCGATCAATCGTTGCCCCTGCTTGTCGTAAATTGGGCAGTCGTTAGTAGTAGTTTGGCTGGTTTGTTTGGTGCTATGTCGAGCTTTGTTTTTCCGTTCTTTCTCGGGTACTTCTTTAGTCAATGAAACTGAATTGGGTTGTCATCATGCCTGCAGTTGTGTTGCACAGCTCTCGCTCGTTCACATTCTGGATACGTGTACTTTCATTCACTCGCACTCACTCTAAATCACACTCAATCAAGCGGGTTAAATTCAGGCCATTTACATTTAATCGATTAATTGTGTGTGGAGCATTGAAACAAACAAGGCATACTGATTGCAGTCACAGTAGAACCATTTGCTGGCGGCTGCTGCCACATATAAACGCTTAGGAAGTTCAAGGGTGTCAAGTGTCCGTGACATGCCGGCCTCATTATTTCTACCCTGGTCGGTTTTCTATGACCTGGGACCCTGTTGAGTGGGACCTAAGCATTCAACCTCCTGACTGTAGATTGTCGTTGCTGCCACCTGTTATAACGAGCCTTTGCTGTGTACTACCCATGATTTCTCACCTGGTGAAAACAATGTTATTGTTCATAATGGTCGGTATATTCTATAATTTCAAGCAACCCTCCATTGGTTTCATATTGAGGCATTTTGCTGATCCTGCGGAGATTCCACTTGCAGTAAGTTGTTTTATACTTGCGTACTATTTCACCGCTCCCTTTGTGACCCATACCACAGCTGATTCTTCGTACACGGGGACACAAGCACTCTCCCAAACACAGTTGGAACTCCATAACATGGGCGGTTCTGCCGCAGAAAATTCTGCTCCCTCGAGTGCGGTCGATTTTGACACTTCCCCTGGAACACCTAAACAGGCTAACTGCACCAGTAGTCCAAAGTTGTTGGATCGTTGTTTAACTACGGATGTGGAATCCGACTTGGAAGGCTCCAGTTGGCAACCTTCAGATGAACAGGACGATGACGCTGAGTGGAATGAATCTCGTTCCAGACGACGTCCATTCTCAAGCCGGCAACGAACTAGTTCACGACAAACTACCGATGGTCGAGCTTCTCGGACTAATAAGCAGTCAAAGGAGCTAAGAAATCCAGATTCTCTACAGAGGACTGTACAAAAAGAAGACCAAAATACTGGGACCACTCATGCCCAGCTGGATGACAGTCGTTGTTCATCGTCAGATGATTACTGCTGGATATGCCACAAGGTTGGAGAGGTAGGCCTTAAATAGTTAGCGATCCCAATGATTCCTAACGTTCATTTTTCCGATCGATGTCCTCTCCACTCATTTTGTATCTCGGGGCTGCTTTACCAACTTCAACATTGTGTCTGTCCTACCATAAACACTATTTTCATACCCCTACTCGCCATAAGGCCATTCACGGGACTTCGCTTTGCACAAGCTTGTACAGAGTAAATCTCATGTCTCCCCTGCTTTTATCACCTTAACTTCGTCTGATTAATAGCTCAGTTTTCTCCTCTTCATCAGCTTTACATAACTTCGATCAGCGACACATCATGCGTCAGCTCACAAAATAGTTTCCAATGTTCCAGAACCGTAAACATACAGCCACATTCCGCCAGTTGGTTCAATTTGACACGAGCGAAAATTGAATTGGAATGCCAAACTAGCGTGGAAGAATAAAACTTTAATTTAAATCTGAGCTGACGTTGGACTGGCTGTTCTTTTTGAATGTTGCCATGACTAAGGATCGTCTACGAATAAACCAAAGCACAGAATTGGTATCCGTTGGACCAAATGTAAATCCTTAGAAAAATGAAGTTGTTTTGCCCGAGGAACCATCTGCTACCGGAAGTTGTATTCCTCTTCTCCTTGCCATGTGCATCTATGGCCATTCGAAGGTTATAAAACGGGGTTGTTTTTCACCCTTTTCTTCCTGGTAATTCTGTCATTTTCTTGATGCATGCTGACGCTTAATACTTCCTCTCTGTATAGCCTTTCATTTTGATTCTTGTTCCGAAATCTTTCGGAGAATCCAAGTATTTAGTCACTATCGTTTGTGATCTGTGTGCGCTTGATCTACTTTCACTACGCAGATGCATACAGTGATGCGATCTCAAGTTCATTAAGTTTGTCTCTTACCGGAATCGGGGAGTTAATGTAAGGTAGGCATTATTTGTTGCTTGCGCACATGATTGCCCCATGGTTGTTGGGTAACTGGTTCCGGTCACCTATTGTTTCGAGTTTGATTTGATTCCTCACAACTTAAATTTGCTTACCATAAATGCTGTTTACAATGGGACAGAACATCTACAAACGAGCTCCACGGTTTCCTCCGGAAAGTGGTTCAACCTAGGCCGAAAAATGATCCAGACTACAAAACACCTGGTCCAACTGTCATTGATATGTATTGAAAACGACGTTTAAATGTCGCTACTTAATGATATGGCAGTAGCTTAGAAAGACTGCATTCACTCGTATACTTTGGTCCGACATCGAACGCCATTTTGTCTCCTAAATTCTCCACAATATTACGATAATATTCGTTAAGAGCTGGAGGTTGAGGTTCCTTTTGAATCATCTCTTATGTCCAGACTATCTCCTTTCTCCTCCCCGTCGTATCTAGATGGTTATTTGCAGTTACTGTCCTCGAGTGTATCATCCTGCGTGTTTATGCATGGATCGGTTCCCTGAAACCTGGCTCTGTCCGGAGTGCCAGGACCTACTCGTATCCGAGTGCGTGTGGTATCAGCAGCCGAATTGGCGGAATGTCACCCAAGAACGACTACAACGTATGCTCTGTTTCCTCATCAACAGGCTTTCCATACAGCAATGGGTAGGTTAAAATTGGGTTAAGTAAGTTCGTTATAATTATCGTATTTTCCAAGACGTGATGGAGTTTTTCATCTTAATGACTCAACTGGTGCGATGAGTGCACAGTTTTTTTACTGGCGACAAGCTGGTATCGACTGGCGTGGACGCTCCTACTGCAATGTAGGGACACAGAGCGCTTACTCCTTAGGCTGAATAGCAGACCGCTTTCGCCCATAGTTAGTTAGTCCCCCCTCTCGTTCCAGACAGTATTTTGACAATTGGAGCTGAACACTTGTTCATTGCGATAGAATAGTTAAGATTGCTCATATTTGATACTTGAGGGATAAAAATGGAATGGTGACTTAACTAGGTATTGGATACAGAGTTCTGCTACTTTCTTTGTCTTCCTGGTTAGCCCGATATCTAGTGGTCGTCCACTTCGACCGGTGAAGAAATACTCTAGGGAACCCCTACTATCCTCTTGTCCAAGGCAAGATGATTCTGGAACTGTCAGTGTTTTGGTGAGTGCGTTTTTGAGTCCCAGTAGCTGCCATAGTAATGAATCCTCTCTTGATCTTATTAAGGACTGTCATCTTAGTCTATTGGGGTGCCATCTACGTGGTGAAGTAAACAAGTTATAATTCTATAGACACACTACGCTTCTAAGGTTGCTGAAAACTTTTCGACAGCCCATGACCGGTTCTGCTCTTCTTGGGGCTCATCAGGTAGGTGCAGTTCCCGAGTTCCCGTCATGTTTGTGTTCTACGAAACATGCTAGCTATGGCAACACAGACTGTGTTGTGCAAAGCAACCAGGAATCGACAAGGTGGCTCGCTATGGTAATGCGTTAAAGCTATTTCACGATGATCTTTGTCGGGAACAGGTGAAAGCGGTGCTTTTGAAGGCTTAGATGTTAAACTGGATATTAAAAATTGGCGCTGTGCGTTAAAAATATGCAGCGATTCTCTCCAGTTGAACCACCTAGAGAACTCTGTCAAAATGATCCCTTATAGCTATATATACCGAGTTCGTTGTTTTTATGTGATAAATGAGTACCAGTGGTTCTCGGGATATCTCATCACGTCCTAAGTTAGTTCTTTTGTGACGTTCAGCTCTGATCTCCTGACTTGCTCATATCCTGGTGTTTTCAGTGCAGTCCTGATTCATCCCAGTACCAGCCAGCTGACTGGTCATAAAGAGATTGGACCATACCATGGCGTGATGGTTTGTGCAGCTCCATAATCCATTGAGGTATAATTTGGAGTGTACATGTGATACTCACACAGCCTCTCACAACAGGCTGGTTAACGAGTAGGGGTTTTCTCTTTCCCCATGTTTGGGGTTGGAACATGTGTGGCGACTTGCTCCTTAAAAATGAAGGCTGCTCTGACAGTCTTACACCTACCACTGCCTTGCGGTTAGACTTTTGAGCCAGAGGTTACGCATGAGGACACTAGTCGTTCTCCTGTCTGAGGGTGGTCGCTCTAGGGGTATCCCAACCCACATGCAATTTTGAATTCCACACTTACAAATATCTCGTGCCACATCGGCCATCACATATGCTACTATCTCGGCCACCTTACTTGCTATACACAAGAGGGTGAGTAGGCAAAAGAGGCTACCTTTGGTACCTTCTTTCTCTTTCACACATTCACTCTTCTCCCCCTCCTCGCATGGTCCCTAGCGGCATCTGCGTAGACTTATTTTTAAGGACTGACAGGTCTGTGCGCTGCCGATTGCCACTAGGTGCGATATCCGCAATTCACTTGGTCTTCACGACCATAGAAACTGGTCTTCAATCCTCATCACCCATTCCACCTGGTAGCCTTTGACTTTTGCACTCTGAAACAAGCCGGACAAGTACACCGGGCTCACTTTCTGTTGATGTGTGCAAGATGCTGGTTGCTACGCTTGTGGAATGATCCAACCAACAAGACTGGATATCGTGCAACACTGTAAAATTACTCGAAGGTCGGTCATACGTTCCTCCTGGTTAGGAGTACAGTAACGCCAGACGAACTGTAAGACAGGTGAAAAAGAGCATCAGCGCCTTTCAAGAAGTTAAGTGGATCCAGAAGTCTTAAGAGACAGTGGGACGGGAAACTCTGGGAATGTGCGTAAACCATTCCAGCTGATATGGGAACGGCTCAACTAAGCCTCCGGTGAGCCAAACAATCAAAATAAGCAAAGAGTTGCTCATCTTTTAAAATGAGAGTGCCTTAGTAATTGGGCTGAACAGTTTTAAGACCTGGTTTTCGAAAAAGTTTGGTGACAATCGGCAGATTTATTGCTGGGAAACGTTTCGCTCAAGACCTGTTCAACTGGCCATCTGCAGTTACTTGGCCGGATTCCCGACCGGCAACACAGCCCTGGACGGTGAGCTTGGAAATCCCTTGGAAATAAGCGAATGCCTTTTGTCTTTCAAGCGTCGCGGAGCTGCTGGTCCCGACTCCGACCGGCTCTGTTCAAAGATAGAGTTGAATCCCTCACTTGGCGCTTATCCAACTTATTTGCTCCTATATGGGAGAAAGTGACCGTCTTAACCAATTGGAGTGAGTAGATAGCGATAACCATTTTCAAAACTGGTGCTCGCGGTGAGTGCTGCAATCACAGATGCTCCCCCCCCCCCGCTGTGTTGTTTATTTTACATCGTCTTACGGACGCGCGTAAAGAGAGGTCCCGAGAATAGCAAGTGAAATTCCGGCCGGACAAGGGCTGTGTGAATCACATTTTCAAACTCCAGCGTATAGGCATCCTACAATCTTGGCCTTCCGCGACTTCAACAGTGCGCTTGATTTTCTAGACCGGTCATGTTTTTTCAACACGCTTGCGCAACGGTGTATGCTCCGCAATTTCGTGAATAACATGTGCTGTTTGTATCCACGTACTTGTAGTATTGTATGGACGGCTGTAGTGTTGGATGAGATTGTCTAATATCTCCTTTTTTTCAATTTTATCACTGATAAGATAATGAGGCAAGCGCTAGAAATTCTCGGAAACCCTGGTTTTTGGATCTATGCTAGCGAGAACGTCATCGACCTGGAATATGCAAACGAATTTGCTCTCGTTTTTGGAGGCGCAAGTATTACTCGAGACCTGACCAAGTTCGTCCCGTCGAACATGTATTTCGTACCCACAAAGTGCAAAGCCGTGCTTCAGGGCGTATAATCTTTGAAAGATATATCTGAGAATTCAGCGAGTGACGCTAGTGGAACACTGTACGTATCTCGTGATCTCTGGTGGTAGTGTGACAGACGAGGTGAACGCACGATTCTAGAATGCCAGAATTGCATGTGCCAATTTGCGCCACTTGCGGCGTGATCAGCCAAATAATCTATCAGCTGCAGCACCCTTTCGGTGCGTACCGGCGATGTTACCTGAAGGAAGCATGAGGGCTGGGATACTATCAGGTTGGTTAAGCCTGAGCAGTAGCAGTCGAGATACCAGTGTTGGGTTCGAATCACGGACCTTCCGGTCAGTAAGTTCCGCTCAGCTATCTCGATCTTAACGTGTGGTGTGAAAAAGCTATTTCACTGGACTTCGAAGGACGCATGTATCAGACTAGGGGTTGTATTTCTGTTTTGCTGGATGACTTTCGCTCCGGGAGGAGGATCTGATACATCTTCAGGTATTTGACTGCCGATATCTCATAACTCTATCTGGAATCGGTTGGAACGGGCGAGTTCGTAGTTAACTGAGCACAGAGCGGGTTTTCTGGTGGATCAGAGAGTAACTCCTTGAATCAATGCATCCAGCGCTTCAAGCTAAGGTGGCTGGGCCGAGTTAGCACCCAGTGAGACAAGCACTGTTTTCCGTGCCTAATTTGGAGGGGCGGAAACCTAGAGGTGGACAGAATTAGACGTGACTGAAGCTATCGAAATATTGCACGAAAAGTTTGGGTTCCACTGGTGCTGTTCGCCTTTCGGAACGGGGCCCATGTGATGCTTCCTATGCTGGAGCCACCAGACGATATGGTGGTTAGTCGGTGTCAGTGGCGTTCCTGCTTTCAGTTCCTACCAAGACTATTTAACTGAGTGCTGGAGGTGTATGAACCCCGGATGGCGGTGATAGTTTAGCCCCAGGTCCCCAAACTGCCCTATTTTCTTTCGACTATAAGGCTTCATTGAAATATATTGACATAGCTGTATGGCAGCGAAGCATCGGTGATTTTGTCTGATGTTGCTGCCAATGACCGTGACGGTGGTGAGGCAGGTAATTTTTCTTGCTGTTACTGCTCTGCTCTTGTGTATTACCCTTTTCTTTTCCCGGCCCCGTATCAAATTCAGGATTCGTAGAATTTGTATTCACATCACTCTCAGTTGAACAGTCATCCTCCCGTTCTGTAGCACTTATTCTGGTCAGTTCATACCAGTGGGAGAGACCACTAAACTCGGGTTTTACTCCCATCAAAAGCCGTGTGTTTATGAGATCCGAGGCGTTACCCGCGTTCAACAGGCGATCGTCTTCAGGCTTGAGCAGTTTGATTAGTTTGGTCAGTGTCCTGAACGCCAAACTGGTGCTTGTGTCAACTCATCAGCCGCCTATCGGAATTTCCCGGTTGGGTAGTGCCACGAGTGGAGGTATTTTCAGGGCTAACCGCCCATCTTTGCACAACTAACATCATAGAATTAATGTAGCAATCTTAGTAACTGCCAGGTTCCTCTCGAAAACGATGAAAAAGGGAAGGAATCTAAGCAACCCAATCTCCAACCAACTTTTACTACAGATGACATCATTTTACTACTTAGTTATATTTACATCCAGTTGGTCTGAATAGATCGTACTAGTTTTGTCTTATCCCTCCCAGTGTGACTCTGTACAGGTTGCGTTGTAAACGGTCTTGCCGGCGTTGCTGTCCCTGCACTGGGAATCAAGCATCAAAGTACCCTCATAATTCCTGTGCTTCTCTGTTGTCTCCATACATCTATTTTGTCAGGCTGAACATTTTCGGGAACCGGTGGATACAGAAAAAGTTGTTGGTTACTCGGACCTCATTGCTTATCCCATGGACCTTCGCACATTGTATGAGGTAAACATGCTTAGCTTTGGTGTCCTGTGTGCACCTATCTGTCATTTTCATTTTTACACTACTTCAATTAGAGTAGTAGCCTGTTTCCAATGACATTCAGACTGACGACTGGGCGGCCTTCACAAACAGGCGCTCCACTTTCGTACAGGCTTTTCAGGACTTTGGTTTTCGCTCCCTCTGTCATTGGTTATGCTAATAAATAAGTACATATGCACTCGTATTCATCTGGTCACGCTGGTGAGAAACTCACTCGGATGGCCATTGCAAACCCACCCCGGACTACGATTTTCTGTGGAATAACGATGGCGTGACTCTTCCGACGGCAGAAGTACGGAATCTACTCATACAATGGCTAGGGTGTACCATGTTAGACCTGTGACCGATTTTTCTGCTGAAATCAGTCGCACCCCACTCACTTGTGATCAGAGATTGTCGACTTTGACATGTTTCGTCAACTGGCGAAGGTAAGATATTTGGCGAGCGGACTATTGAAGCCAGGGTAACATCACAGGGAAATAAGTAAACATACCGGAGTTCGTAGTTGGCGAAGGGGACCAGCGAGGTGTGGATTGTCCAGGATAGGTTGGGGTTTCTCGTGGTTCAAACTACGAATTCCTTCAGCTGTAGCACGCTTGCAGTGCCCAACTGCCATGCCACCAGAAGGAGGCACGAGGGCTGGGTTGGTCAAGCGTAGACAGGGCAAGTCGAGATGCTGTTGTTTGATCAGATGGTAGTTGATCTGTTCGCCGAGCTTGGCAATTGGTTTGCAAACGTTTCATCCGCAGTCGAGGAGACAACGTCAGTGCGCCGTTGAGTGGGCACTTCGTCCATCCTTAGTTGTGTTTATATAGTTTGAGAAGAGTACCTTATACCCTGTCTTCTCTGACTTTTGGCTCCGTAGTGTTGCAATGAGTTTCAATATACTTGAAAAGCGTTCAGATGCAGCTTTGTTTGTTTGAGAAGGGAAACGCTTGTACAGAGCTCTTCACAGAAATGAATACCCCAGAAATTTCATCTGGCGGACTCTCGAAAAACTCAATTCGGCCAACTCAACAGCACATGGACAAGGCAAACGGATCACACTTCCATATATCAGGAATATTTCAGAAATGACCGCACGCTTGCTATGCAAGTACAACACAAACCTGCAAACTACGTACGGAGAACACTATCAAACCTAAAAAGACGATTGGACGCAATGTGGAGGACCGACGTCGTGTACAAGATTCAGTGCGGAGATTGTGGCAAGCACTGCCTAGAGCAAACAGGAAAGAAGCTTTCTACCAGAATCCATGAACACAAAATTTCAGCCAGGAGGCACGACCAATTTCTACTCGTCTCCGAGCACGAAGATCAAAATGGACACAAATTCAACTGGAACACCGTCCGCATATTGGCTCAAGCGAGAACAAAGAAAGAGCGTGAATTCATGGAAGCATGGCACTCCACTGAAAAAGCCATCAACAAACACAGAAATCGACCCAGTCTATCGACCACTGCAAGCCGAAGAACCATGGAACTACAGAACACAGATACGGACAAACAGTCAGGCTGAATCAGCCTGAAGTAAGAAAGCTATCAAAAATATAAACGCCATCATAACTGACCAAATTTAAGGAAGAGAGACCACAACGCAACACAAACCGGTAACGGACTAGTCGAAAACAAACCTGCAACACCCCCAAACAGCCATCCAACCAACCAATCGAATACGGATCGTACAGACCATGATTGGGACAATAATACTATAAGAAAGGTATTTACCGACTAACCAATCACGCGACAGGATATGAGATGTTCTTCAAAAACTATATAAACGCAACTAAGCACTGAGAAAGTACCCACTCAACTGTGAACTGACGATGTCTCCTCGACTGCGGATGAAACGTTTGTAGATCAGTTGCCAAGCTCGGCGAACAGATCAACTACTATCTGATCAAACAACAGTAAACACACCCGAACTACCCATATTTCGACGAATTCGAGATGCAGCTGTCGGGTTCTAACCGTGGACTTTCCGGTCAGTAAATTTGCGCTCCAATCGCTGAGCTATCTGGATTCAGCATGGTCATCAGCACTCCGGTTTATTTTTATTCTTTTGTTACAGGTGACTTGTTTTATTTTTGCAGGGCATGAGATGCTCATATTTTGCCTTCCAGGCTTCCACATTCCATTAGACTGCCGAAATATATATAATAAACAGAATCAAATGGACAGCTTATTGTGACAACCATTACAAGGGTCGGGTTCATATAGCTACACAGCGACGTACAGTTCAGAGATACTCACAATGACAGGAGATTCAGTTAATCATGCCTCAGTACATACTACTGTGATCAGAAAGTGT